ACATCAGTGTTTGTGGTATTCTGTGTCACCTTGACCTACTCAACACTCCTTGTACAGCCTGGCGACCAACATCAGTGTTTGTAGTATTCTGTGTCACCTTGACCTACCAAACACTCCTTGTACAGTCTGGCGACCAACATCAGTGTTTGTGGTATTCTGTGTGACCTTGCCCTACTCAACACTCATTGTACAGCCTGGCGACCAACATCAGTGTTTGTGGTATTCTGTGTCACCTTGACCTACTCAACACTCCTTGTACAGTCTGGCGACCATCATCAGTGTCTGTGGTATTCTGTGTCACCTTTACCTACCCAACACCTCTTGTACAGCCTGGCGACCATCATCAGTGTTTGTGGTATTCTGTGTCACCTTGATCTACTCAACACTCCTTGTACAGCCTGGCGACCAACATCAGTGTTTGTGGTATTCTGTGTCACCTTGACCTACCCAACACTCCTAATACAGCCAGACGACCAACATCAGTGTTTGTGGTATTCTGTGTCGCCCTGACCTACCCGACGCTCTTTGTACAACCAGACGACCAACATCAGTGTTTGTGGTATTCTGTGTCACCTTGACCCACCAAACACTCCTAATACAGCCAGACGAACAACATCAGTGTTTGTGGTATTCTGTGTCACCCTGACCTACCCAACGCTCCTTGTACAACCAGACGACCAACATCAGTGTTTGTGGTATTCTGTGTCACCTTGACCTACCCAACACTCCTTGTACAGCCTGGCGACCAACATCAGTGTTTGTGGTATTCTGTGTCACCTTGACCTACTCAACACTCCTTGTACAGCCTGGCGACCATCATCAGTGTTTGTGGTATTCTGTGTCACCTTGACCTACTCAACACCTCTTGTACAGCCAGACGACCATCATCAGTGTTTGTGGTATTCTGTGTCACCTTGACCAACTCAACACTCCTTGTACAGCTTGGAAACCAACATCAGTGTTTGTGGTATTCTGTGTCACCTTGACCTACTCAACACTCCTTGTACAGCCTGGCGACCAACATCAGTGTTTGTAGTATTCTGTGTCACCTTGACCTACCAAACACTCCTTGTACAGCCTGGCGACCAACATCAGTGTTTGTGGTATTCTGTGTCACCTTGCCCTACTCAACACTCATTGTACAGCCTGGCGACCAACATCAGTGTTTGTGGTATTTGTGTCACCTTGACCTACTCAACACTCCTTGTACAGTCTGGCGACCATCATCAGTGTCTGTGGTATTCTGTGTCACCTTTACCTACCCAACACCTCTTGTACAGCCTGGCGACCATCATCAGTGTTTGTGGTATTCTGTGTCACCTTGATCTACTCAACACTCCTTGTACAGCCTGGCGACCAACATCAGTGTTTGTGGTATTCTGTGTCACCTTGACCTACCAAACACTCCTTGTACAGCCTGGCGACCAACATCAGTGTTTGTGGTATTCTGTGTCACCTTGACCTACTCAACACTCCTTGTACAGCCTGGCGACCAACATCAGTGTTTGTGGTATTCTGTGTCACCTTGACCTACCCAACACTCCTAATACAGCCAGACGACCAACATCAGTGTTTGTGGTATTCTGTGTCACCTTGACCTACCCAACACTCCTTGTACAGCCTGGCGACCAACATCAGTGTTTGTGGTATTCTGTGTCACCTTGACCTACCAAACACTCCGTGTTTGTACAGTGTCAGACGACCAACATCAGTGTTTGTGGTATTCTGTTTCACCCTGACCTACCCAACTCTCCTTGTACAGTCAGACGACCAACATCAGTGTTTGTGGTATTCTGTGTCACCTTGACCTACCCAACACTCCTAATACAGCCAGACGACCAACATTAGTGTTTGTGGTATTCTGTGTCACCCTGACCTACCCGACACTCCTTGTACAGCCTGGCGACCAACATCAGTGTTTGTGGTATTCTGTGTCACCTTGACCTACACAACACTCATTGTACAGCCTGGCGACCAACATCAGTGTTTGTGGTATTCTGTGTCACCTTGACCTACCACAACACTCCTTGTACAGCCTGGCGACCATCATCAGTGTTTGTGGTATTCTGTGTCACCTTGACCTACTCAACACCTCTTGTACAGCCAGACGACCATCATCAGTGTTTGTGGTATTCTGTGTCACCTTGACCAACTCAACACTCCTTGTACAGCTTGGAAACCAACATCAGTGTTTGTGGTATTCTGTGTCACCTTGACCTACTCAACACTCCTTGTACAGCCTGGCGACCAACATCAGTGTTTGTAGTATTCTGTGTCACCTTGACCTACCAAACACTCCTTGTACAGTCTGGCGACCAACATCAGTGTTTGTGGTATTCTGTGTGACCTTGCCCTACTCAACACTCATTGTACAGCCTGGCGACCAACATCAGTGTTTGTGGTATTCTGTGTCACCTTGACCTACTCAACACTCCTTGTACAGTCTGGCGACCATCATCAGTGTCTGTGGTATTCTGTGTCACCTTTACCTACCCAACACCTCTTGTACAGCCTGGCGACCATCATCAGTGTTTGTGGTATTCTGTGTCACCTTGACCTACTCAACACTCCTTGTACAGCCTGGCGACCAACATCAGTGTTTGTGGTATTCTGTGTCACCTTGACCTACCCAACACTCCTTGTACAGCCTGGCGACCAACATCAGTGTTTGTGGTATTCTGTGTCACCTTGACCTACCAAACACTCCTTGTACAGCCAGACGACCAACATCAGTGTTTGTGGTATTCGTTGAATGGTGCTTCGAGCTGTAGCAATGCCATGATCCCCGAGCTTGATGTGCGGTGGATTTATGAAGTAATGAATATGTCAGGAGTTGAATGGTGCTTCGAGCTGTAGCAATGCCATGATCCCCGAGCTTGATGTGCGGTGGATTTATGAAGTAATGAATATGTCAGGAGTTGAATGGTGCTTCGAGCTGTAGCAATGCCATGATCCCCGAGCTTGATGTGCGGTGGATTTATGAAGTAATGAATATGTCAGGAGTTGAATGGTGCTTCGAGCTGTAGCAATGCCATGATCCCCGAGCTTGATGTGCGGTGGATTTATGAAGTAATGAATATGTCAGGAGTTGAATGGTGCTTCGAGCTGTAGCAATGCCATGATCCCCGAGCTTGATGTGCGGTGGATTTATGAAGTAATGAATATGTCAGGAGTTGAATGGTGCTTCGAGCTGTAGCAATGCCATGATCCCCGAGCTTGATGTGCGGTGGATTTATGAAGTAATGAATATGTCAGGAGTTGAATGGTGCTTCGAGCTGTAGCAATGCCATGATCCCCGAGCTTGATGTGCGGTGGATTTATGAAGTAATGAATATGTCAGGAGTTGAATGGTGCTTCGAGCTGTAGCAATGCCATGATCCCCGAGCTTGATGTGCGGTGGATTTATGAAGTAATGAATATGTCAGGAGTTGAATGGTGCTTCGAGCTGTAGCAATGCCATGATCCCCGAGCTTGATGTGCGGTGGATTTATGAAGTAATGAATATGTCAGGAGTTGAATGGTGCTTCGAGCTGTAGCAATGCCATGATCCCCGAGCTTGATGTGCGGTGGATTTATGAAGTAATGAATATGTCAGGAGTTGAATGGTGCTTCGAGCTGTAGCAATGCCATGATCCCCGAGCTTGATGTGCGGTGGATTTATGAAGTAATGAATATGTCAGGAGTTGAATGGTGCTTCGAGCTGTAGCAATGCCATGATCCCCGAGCTTGATGTGCGGTGGATTTATGAAGTAATGAATATGTCAGGAGTTGAATGGTGCTTCGAGCTGTAGCAATGCCATGATCCCCGAGCTTGATGTGCGGTGGATTTATGAAGTAATGAATATGTCAGGAGTTGAATGGTGCTTCGAGCTGTAGCAATGCCATGATCCCCGAGCTTGATGTGCGGTGGATTTATGAAGTAATGAATATGTCAGGAGTTGAATGGTGCTTCGAGCTGTAGCAATGCCATGATCCCCGAGCTTGATGTGCGGTGGATTTATGAAGTAATGAATATGTCAGGAGTTGAATGGTGCTTCGAGCTGTAGCAATGCCATGATCCCCGAGCTTGATGTGCGGTGGATTTATGAAGTAATGAATATGTCAGGAGTTGAATGGTGCTTCGAGCTGTAGCAATGCCATGATCCCCGCAATTCAATTCAATTCTTTATTGTATGAAAGGCGATAGGCCTATATACAAAAGAGATACATCTTGACAATGGCATATATAATCAACTTTCTAACTAATCAATTCTTTTCTTAACAAAAATGCATTGTAGATAAATATAGCAACTTTGTGTTGTTTTGGAGGTTCTTTGCTGGAAAGTAAAGAAGACAATAGAGACATATCTTCCACGGTTCATTAATAAATCATTAAGGCCTAATCTAAATCGTATGAAAACATTGCGAATATTTCTGCATTGAAGGTGAGCAAGATAACGCTCTGGCTCAAGCAACGACTTAAATTGACGATATGAATCATATCTAGAACTTTCATTAATAGTTAAATGCCATTCCTGCTTAAACATATCAATAGCCCGCATACGAAACTGTTTAATAAACATATTTGCATTTCCAACTGTCTGTGATAGCCAAATACAACCAAAACCATATCTAAATAGTATTGTATTGTGAACATCAAAGGCATTTGAAACAAATAAGCGTCCTTTCCTCCTTTCTCGTGCAACTAGATTCATTAATATTCGAGGAACCCGGTATGGACCTGTTTTGTACTGTCTCATTATTAACTATTTTTTGTCAGTAGCAAAATATGATTGAATTAATTAATGACACATACCTGAAACAAAGATAGTATCTGTTAGTGATAACGATCTGATGAATAACATCATTGGTGATAAGTATACTAAAGCATTCTGATTATTATGATGTTTACATGAGCAAAGCAAATGTAATATTATTGCTGTTAAATGGGATTCAGTGTATTAAGGTAGTGATTGATGAGAACTTTATGTCGTTGACAAACCATTGTCTTATTGTCTGCATATGGGTGCAGCTGTATACATAACTAGTATTTATTTTCATCATAGATTCTCGTCTTCCTCATTTACTGGAAGATGAAACTTGTAGTGTTGTAATACATACAGTTCGAGAGACGATGTCAGCAACAGCTGCCGTGAATCACTATAACTTCACGTGGCAGCCATACTTATGTACAAGTGAGTATTGAATACTACTTGTCTGTTTCATAACATACATTACCGCATAATGTTTATACAGGATACTTCTGTACCAGCGAGTAGTCAATACCACTTGTCTTTTTCATAACATACATTACCGGACAATGTGTATACAGGATACACCACATAGACACGCCGGATCATGGCGTCAAATATGATGAATCTGGTTGTACGTTGCCCGTAACAGTATTCCAGTGTCTTCACACATTCCTCAGAAGCTTTCTCATCCGGGTTACCCCGCCACCCCCTCAACGATAAATGTAATATGTAGCATATGTTTAGGTGTTCGTGAACTAATCAACAAAACAACCATTTCAAAACGTCATATCGTTGCATTGTTTCTACTAGTTTAAAGTCGCAACGTTAAATTCCTAAGTCTTGTCTCCAATGTTCATCAGATAAGGTGTTACTTTGTTTCAGAAGACAAAGATGTCTGTGTTGACCAATCTCTGCACATCACTACTCACTGTTTCCACGTTCGGTAAATGCATTCTTCATAATTATTATATAAATATATATTATATGGTTATTTATCTGTACTAGCAAATCCAATAAACTTTATATCCAAGTATATATATATGCATTTCTTCTCTCTGCCAAAAGACAACGTGGGCTGCTGAGGCGATCTGTCTTAGTCTGATACAGTTTTGCTAATGTTTTGCTAACTAGATGTCCATTGTATCATGCTGTATCATGTTGAACATAGACAATTGTTCGGTGTGTTGCCAAACTTAGTTTGGTATAGTTATGATTATATTAGTTGGTATAACCAAATGTAACCGGTGGCATGAATACAATGATAACGAATGTAAGGAAGTGGTAATTACCGGGATACCTCACTTGTAATAGTTCCATTCTGTTTAAACAGCCACATGGTGCCATGACAACCAGCACTGTTCAGAGTGTGACATCACGACAGGCTACTGCATCACCGACTGTGACCGTGGATACTACGACCAGAGATGCAAGTCAGTTTGCAGCAAGAACTGTAGAAATAAGACATGCGAAATGTCAAGCAATGGCAATGATGCGTGCACCGAGGGTTGTGTGCAAGGTTATTCTGGCACTGGGTGCAACATACCATGTGACAGTCCAGGAGGTAGCTGTACAGCATGTCCAGGTGGTTGTGATGGAGGGTATTGTCAACTGGGCTCATCCTGTGTGTCTGGATGTGTAGACTCCTACTACGGCAATGACTGTAAGACGTGTTCAAGTAGATGTAAATCCTGTAACGGGAGCACAGGTCAATGCAGTGAATGTCAACAGTCATACGGTGGTCCAAACTGCGAGTTTTCCTGCAATCACTGCGTAGGAGGATCATGTCAATTCTTTTGTTTTCAGCGTTGTATTGAAGGGTTTTATGGTATTTTTTGTAGTAGAAATTGCAGTGATACCTGCCTCAGTTCCACTGTAGAGCCGCCAAAGACAAACCCGTCTTCCTGTAACTGGACAAATGGTGTCTGTATCCATGGATGCAGAGCTGGCTGGTACGGTCCACAGTGCTCGCATCGGTGTAACACTAAATGCATGGATGCTGCATGCACACAAACAGGTGCTTGTAAAGGAAGGTGCATTCCTGGATACTATGGACGACATTGTAAAGCATGCCCCGGACATTGTTCTGATCTCACCTGCAGGGGTGACGATGGGTCTTGTGAGACAGGATGTGCTTCTGGTTTCTTTGGAGAATATTGTAACACCACATGTATTGATGGTAAGTGTCAATTTACGTGAAACATGAAATGTGAAAGTAATTACAAAATGCTTGAGCTTTCTGGTATACCTTATGCAGACAGAATAATGTTCTAGTGCTTGATTAAACCCAGTGTAAGACCTTCCAGATTATATACATGTGTATATATGTCTACATTACGTCAGTTCCATGTGTTTCCATGTTTCAGATGTGGCCGACGTAGTAGATATGAAGGTAAACGGGATGAAAAACACCACCGTTGGCATCAATGAAACTGTCACATTCCAGTGTGTGGTTCAAGGATGCCCACCACCAGACGTATCCCTGGTACACACAGGAAACACCACGCTGGCCATGTTCAGGAAGAATAACACTCTGTATGAACGTGTTATACGTGTCCACAGTTGTTCCCAGCTTGGGAGGTATTCCTGTCAAGCGACAAACTTCACTGGGACTTCATCTGACAAACAATTACACGTGGCTGAGCTGATTGGTAAATATACCGTTCTGTGTTCTTATATCACCTAATTGTTTTTCTTGTATGACCCGTATAATCCAATGAAGGGAGGCATATAGATTGGTCTATAACCTCGGATGTAGATGCTGTGTCACTGAGTAGACATTAGCGTATAGACTGTTATGAAATAGTTTATTTTACACGTTACGGAAAATAGTTGTATCCTTGTCTGCATATTCAGTACGTTAACAATGACAGCCAACCATTAACTACGTACCTAAGACATTGTCGATTCACATAGACCTGTAATTATGTATTTTCAGCGATTCCAAAGAAACAAGATGTTAAAGATTGTGAAATTGAAACCCCAACTGACGGGAAAGACCCATCTGGAAAAATAAAGTTCACATTGTGTGCATACCCTGAGCCTGTTATAACGAAATTACAGTTTGAAAGACATGATAATCCCAAGGATATCACAGACAAGAAAAAGTACAACCTTACTATGGACACGTTGATGTCAAAACTGTTCGGGTATACATTCACAATTGCCAACATTGGTGATGAAGACTTTGGGGTTTATACATTCACTGTGGCTTTCGGCGGACGAGAAGTCGATATACTGATTGTTGCATCACAACCTAAAGGTACGACATATATTCCTATTAGAAAAGATCAATCAGTTTATGACATTACATATTTAACAGTTATGTTTAAATGTTATCATTAATCTCATTGCCAAGACTATGAAATTAGCTTACAGATGGAAACATACTATATATTATAGTCAGTGTAGCTACTGATGATTTTAAGATGGAATGTAAGTTATGTCACACCATGCTAATTTCTACTTTATTTCCAGACATTACAGGGATCACCTTCACTTCTATCGCTATTATTATCGGAGGCTCTTTGGTTGGTGTACCGTTAGTTTTCGTTGGTGTACCGTTAGTGTACGACGACGCAAGACTGTCAGAGGTGAGAAGGGTTATATACTCTTGGTGCACGTTCTATGGAAGGGTAATTACTTCTTCCTTTATAAACTAGCATGTATTCTATGAGGGGTTTCACACGTCCACATGTTAGGTTGTTGATTGAGTAATGTTCATAGGCGGCATTGGGGTAGACTGGTAGTTACAGCGAGTCGCTCGTCACACAAGACTCGAAATGGATGTTTACTGGTAATGTTCATAGTTGGGGTAGACTGGTAGTTACAGCGCTTGCTCGTCACACACCAAGACTCGAGACTCTCTGGATGTTTACTATTCATAGCCGACATTGGGGTAGAAGTTACAGCGCTTGGTCGAGCTCGACATGGATGTTTACTGGTAATGTTCATAGCCATTGCATTAGGGTAGACTTGTGTCTGGTAGTTACAGACGCTTGTCGTCACACCTCGAGACCAGCTCGACATGGATGTTTACTGGTAATGTTCATAGGCGACATTGGGGTAGACTGGTAGTTACAGCGCTTGCTCGTCACACCAAGACTCGAGCTCGCCATGGATGCATGAGTGAAGCCTATTTCTGGTGTCCCCTGTGTTGCTATTTGTGGAATATTGCTCTGCTCATTCATACGTGTCAGCAGCTGAGTGTGTGGCAATATGCAGTCTGAATATCATCCTTACAATAAACATTAAATATGATACAGCATATATTCCAAAATGACTACCATAAAACTATTTGGTTGAAGTGTCTGAAATATGTAATGTCCTTTCGTTTCAGACTACTGGAATATGAGGTGAGTTCTGAGGAAATTGATACAATATTGAAATTCAAATATTGAAATATTTGTGCATAATGTCTCGAATAGTTCGAAAAGTATAAATCAGTTTCGTAAGAAGTTGCACCATTACATTATTTTGTAAAATGGTGTTTGTATTCTTTAGACTGAATGTATTGGAATAAACGAAAACAGTAAGCTAAAACACTGGGATCCACAAAGCTTACTTGTAGAGATGTCATGTAAGGCCATACATCCCCACTATTAGCCCCACTTCTAGGTATGTCATGTAAGGCCATACATACACCCCCACTATTAAGCTGCGAGTGAGGTACACTATACATACACTTCTAAGTATGTCATGTAAGGCCATACATACACCCCCACTATTAGCCCCACATTTAGGTATGTCATGTAAGGCCATACATACACCCCCACTATTAGCCCCACTTTTAGGGATATCATGATTTACCAGGATCATTAACACACGTCCATGTCAGACAATTGCAATGTAAAATATATTTGGAGATTTTCAGTACCTCGACTTGGCAAAGATTATGACTAATGCTTTGACTGTATCCCAACAGGATTGTGCAGCCCTACCTTACACCCAGACATGAATCGTCTCGGTCACCAGAGAACGTTGATATCCCCCCACTATGACGTCATCGATGACTCCTGTGTCTGATAACTTCGTTGATGAAGGACGTGAATCTGCTGGCCACAAAGCATCATGTAGATATACAAGGAGGGATTTGAGTATACCTTACAGTCGCTGAAGGACATTAGAACAATAATGTATGCTCTTGTGATACCAGACAAACAATTGTGCATACAATATCTGATGAATAATGCATGAAGAAACTGACGAAAATAGAGGTGGGATGTCGGGGGGAGCTTGTTGCCGAAATCACTGCTTTGATCACCACGGGGATAGGTTCTTTTCCAAAAGACATTTACCGAATATTTTTGAGAAATATTTGTTACATTTACATTTATGTTTGCATAATATTTGAGACATTTACGTTTTTATACGTAAATATATTTCCGTAAAATATTTGATACATTTGCATTCATTTTGGAAAAGTATTAGATACATTAAGTATTAGATACATTAAGAATTATTTCTGTAAAATATTCCATGCAGTTACATTTATTTTGGTAAAGTAATAAATATATTTTAATGTATTTTTGTAAAATATTTGATACACCGCTGGAATAATTCGATACATCGCTGTTTTACTGAATACATATACCTAATAGGATCATACTTCAAAAACATCATGTACATTCATGTACAGGGGCGCGCGTGTGTCTAAGGCGCCAGGCTAGTAATCCAGCGAGCTGTCTAAGTGCCGGGATCAGACCACCTGTTACCGGGTGTAAACAACTCAGATTCAACTACTGTAGTGTACAGTACACAACCATGTGCACTTAAAAGAACCCCCGATGGTAGATGACCAGATGGTGGCCACATGAATACATGCAAACACCTAGTTGCGGGTACAGCAACGTGAAGTGCTGTGACTATGTGTCCCAGTCCTCCCAGCTGTGAATGGGTACCTCGTAAGGATGGGAAAGCCACATTAACTCAGTGCGCCTGTATGTTGTTGAGATTGAAAATACGATCTGCCGTTGTGATGTGGTATATGTATTCAGTAAAAAAGCGATATCGATCAATCGGTCTATCCGTTGTTATGGACATCCAATTAAATCGAGGGAAAACAAAGCGCCTTTGAGCAGTTGTACTGGATCTATCGATGATCATACAAATGTGATACCGAGATGGTCCATCTTATCACAAGGTGACCAGCTTCATGTTAGTTTCTGCCCGTATATCAGTCACATGACCCATGGACAGATGTATAATATAACACTGTAATATGTCTGCTGTACAGTAATGTGACTAAGCTTTGTTATACTGCCTGTATAAGCTTTGGTGTATGAAATATAAGCTTTGGTGTATAAAATATAAGCTTGTGGTATAAGACATAAACTTTGGTATATGTAATATAAGCTTTGGTATATGTAATATAAGCTTTGGTATATGTAATATAAGCTTTGGTATATGTAATATAAGCTTTGGTGTATGTAATATAAGCTTTGGTATATGAAATATAAGCTTTGGTATATGTAATATAAGCTTTGGTATATGTAATGTAAGCTTTGGTATCTGTAATATACGCTTTGGTATCTGTAATATAAGCTTTGGTATCTCTAATGTAAGCTTTGGTATACGTAATGTAAGCTTTGGTATATGTATTGTAAGCTTTGGTATACGTAATGTAAGCTTTTTGCATGCAATATGCATTCAAGTACAACGTGAGGTGCAACGAACTTCATAAACGTAAAGTCATATTTCTGTATAGATGCAGGCAAAGTTTTATACGTTTCAATGCCATTGTAGTACATTCCTTTTGTCCTTGTCAGTAAAATGTATTCAAATCACAACTGCTCTGTTTGAGTTCTCTTACACACAAAGGAACTTCCAGGGAAAACCAGAGATGTTTAGACCTGAGTGTCGAGGCTGACGCCAGGCGTGAAAGGAAGTGAACCATGACAAACTGTAACGATGAAAGAATGTATTGAAATCATGCTTGTGTGTACACATAACTATGACTGGAATCAATAACTCGAACGTTCAGTAAGATAACTTAATACCAATTGGCGAATGTCGGTTTGGCAAACCACATTGCCTTGTAAATGCATTTAAGTTTTTCAGTTGTAATATGAGATTTAACGTATAGGACTCGCTGACGTAAGGACCGATGTTATTATTGTTATTTAAATCAAATGATCCGAACGTTCTACAAGTCACTTCAATATAAGTGGGAGGTTTGGGCGTGGATGAACAACACCTTAAAATACAGCAAGTTACTGGGTTGTTTGTTGTTGAACTTTGTTCGCTTATTGTTTTACGCCACACTCTGCAGTAGGTTCAGGATATTGTAAATAATCTGGTCTGAACCAGAAAACATCCAGTGATTAATATCACGAGGAGGGTATAGTTGTTCTGATATATAAACCACGTGAGGACATCGGTGTTTATACAGGAGTATGTCTGCTGTATTTCTATGGTTGTGTACTCTGTAAATCTGGGAAGGACGGGAAGGTGAAACTATTACATAGGTAGCAATGTTTCCCTTTCGAGAAGGGAATATGAAACTGATCACTGTCGAGAATAAAAAAATGATATACAACATGACTCAAGAATTGAAACAAAAAATGTGCATATTAAAATCTGGCTTCTCGGAAAAAGACACACACCAAGTTACATGTTAATGAGATGGGAGCATCTAACATTGAACTTACACAGACATGTGTTTGATGACCCAAGCTCCGTGCAGCTTGGAGCATCTAACATTGAACTTACATAGGCATACGTTTGATGACCCTAGCTCCGTGCAGCTTGGAGCATCTAACATTGAACTTACACAGGCATCTGTTTAATGACCCAAGCTCCGTGCAGCTGGGAGCATCTAACATTGAACTTACACAGGCATCTGTTTGATGACCCAAGTTCCTTGCAGCTTGGAGCATCCAACATTGAACTTACACAGGCATATGTTTGATGACCCAAGCTCCGTGCAGCTTGGAGGATCTAACATTGAACTTACACAGACATGTGTTTGATGACCCAAGCTCAGTGCAGCTTGGAGCATCCAACATTGAACTTACACTGACATCTGTTTGATGACCCAAGCTCCGTGCAGTTTGGAGCATCTAACATTGAACTTACACAGACATCTGTTTGATGACCCAAGCTCCGTGCAGCTTGGAGCATCCAATATTGAACTTACACAGACATCTGTTTCATGACCCAAGCTCCGTGCAGCTGGGAGGATCTAACATTGAACTTACACAGGCATGTGTTTGATGACCCAAGCTCCGTGCAGCTGGGAGCATCTAACATTGAACTTACACAGACATCTGTTTGATGACCCAAGCTCCGTGCAACTGGTCTCATCAACATTCAATGACAGTTTCGAGAGTTTGTCGATTCGTGGATCTAAATGTTCTTAATGGCTGTGGAGGGGTAGTATAGTCGTCGAAGCGTTTGCTCATCACGCCGAAAACCCGGTTTCATTCCCCACATGGGCACAATGTTTGAAGCCCATAATAATACTGAAATATTGCTAAAGAGACGTGTTGGTGTTGCCACAGTAAACCTTTCCCGCACAAGTATCAATTTGGATTCCGTAAAGGTGCTGGCGCTGAAACAGCTGCATTAACACTGTTAGAAAGTATAGCTTATTACAGGGAAAGAAACTCACCAGTGTATTGTGTCTTTCTAGACAACGAGAAGGCCTTTGATAGAATATGGCTTAATGGATTATTTTATAAACTCCATCACTTTGTTATAATGGTAAACTGTGGCGTATCTTACGTACTAAATATACTTCAATGCAGTCTTGTGTTAAAATAGGGGAGTTGCATCTGCTCCATTTCCTGTAAAACAAGGTGTTGGTCAAGGATGTGTTTTGTCAGCTTGGTTTATTTTCATTGTATATTAATGACCTATTATACGCACTAGAATCATTACAACACGGTTTAAGTCTTCCATGGGGGTAATGTGCCAGGTATCTTATTAGCAGATGACACAACTATTGTAAGTGGAGCCATAGATGGCCTACAGTGTGCACTAAATGTGTGTTTGAGTACTCTTGCAAATGGCATCTTAAATATAATGCCGACAAAGTGTATTCTTATTGTTTGGTAATACCCAAAACATACATGTCCATCATTTTACATTGGGGAGAAGATTGTAACTCAAAAGATCTTGTTGTGTATGCTGGCTTGTATATAACCACTGCATCTTCAACTTTAGTGCGTACTCAAAATCATGTGATAAACTTAGAATGTTAGTCAGCACAAATCGCTGCAATGGTTTGTTCTTTGGTGGTCTAAACCCCATGTCTGCTTGTGGAGTCTGGAACAGAGTTATGTTACCATGTGCCCTGTTTGCTTGTGAATTATGGTGTAAACTAACATCTAAAAGAGTATGAAATACTTGAACGAGCTCAATCTTTCTTCTGTAAAACACATCCAGGGGCTCTCTAAATGTTCTTCGACAGTTGTCGCACGAGACTGTTTAAATTTACTATCAGTCCAAGCATACATAGAAAAACGTTGTCTTATGTTCCTTGGCAAATTATGTAGAGGTAATTTAAACTTTGTATTCAAGAATGTCTTAAACTTTAAACTTAGTCAATTCTTACTTGACTCATGTTATGAAAGAAGCTAAAAGTACAAAATCCCTATCTACCACATGCTACTATTAACATATAAATACGACCTGACAGGTTATGTAAATACATACATTGTGTCTGCCAGCTTTCCTAATAAAGCACAATGGAATGTCCATATTACGAAAACAATTCATGATGCTGAAAATATCCATATATGTAAAGAGTTAACGTCAAGGGAAAATCAACATAGATACTATTCAGTGCGAGACCAGAATATACATAGATTATGGCAAATGTCGATCCTACGACCTGATCTATTTCACTGTATTGCAAACTTGGTGCAAATTAGTACTCTGCGTATCCAATCAAAGAGTGTATATGTGGCACATTTGCCTACGATATTGTCAAACATGTTTTATGTACTGCGAGCTGACAAGCCGTCAGAGATCTTCTTATCGAATCAATTATTGACAGAGTAGATGTAAATACGTTTTCTAGCCTTTGGAACAATGATGAAGAATTGATTCTATGTTTCTTACTCGGAGGACTTCCAACGGAATATTGTCTATCCCTTGATGATAATGTATGGCTTGAATGTATGACCAATGTATGTACAACTGTTAACAACTGGAAACATTTCTTTGTAAACTGTTTGTAACTATCTGTATTCCCCTGTTTCTGATCTGCATGTCAGTATATCATATCACATTGTATCTTCATTCACTGGAGGAAATAAAGAATATCTATCTAACATTGAACTTACATAGGCATACGTTTGATGACCGTAGCTCCGTGCAGCTTGGAGCATCTAACATTGAACTTACACAGGCATCTGTTTAATGACCCAAGCTCCGTGCAGCTGGGAGCATCTAACATTGAACTTACACAGGCATCTGTTTGATGACCCAAGTTCCTTGCAGCTTGGAGCATCCAACATTGAACTTACACAGGCATATGTTTGATGACCCAAGCTCCGTGCAGCTTGGAGGATCTAACATTGAACTTACACAGACATGTGTTTGATGACCCAAGCTCAGTGCAGCTTGGAGCATCCAACATTGAACTTACACTGACATCTGTTTGATGACCCAAGCTCCGTGCAGTTTGGAGCATCTAACATTGAACTTACACAGACATCTGTTTGATGACCCAAGCTCCGTGCAGCTTGGAGCATCCAACATTGAACTTACACAGACATCTGTTTCATGACCCAAGCTCCGTGCAGCTGGGAGGATCTAACATTGAACTTACACAGGCATGTGTTTGATGACCCAAGCTCCGTGCAGCTGGGAGCATCTAACATTGAACTTACACAGACATCTGTTTGATGACCCAAGCTCCGTGCAACTGGTCTCATCAACATTCAATGACAGTTTCGAGAGTTTGTCGATTCGTGGATCTAAATGTTCTTAATGGCTGTGGAGGGGTAGTATAGTCGTCGAAGCGTTTGCTCATCACGCCGAAAACCCGGTTTCATTCCCCACATGGGCACAATGTTTGAAGCCCATAATAATACTGAAATATTGCTAAAGAGACGTAAAACTAAACTCACTTACTCTCGCTTATCACATTTATACATGGTTTAAGTACAGTGTTATATCCTAGAACAAACCATCGGCTGGAAGTCATCTGACTATAGGTATTAGTGTTCAGCTGACGACATACAAGGTCAACTAGCTTTAATTATTACAATTCATTTGCCATTCCAGTCAACATACAAGGTCAACCAGCTTTAATTATTACAATTTGTTTACCATTCCAGTCAACATACAAGGTCAACTAGCTTTAAATATTACAGTTTGTTTGCCATTCCAGTCAACATACAAGGTCAACTAGCTTTAATTAGTACAATTCGTTTGCCATTCCAGTCAACATACGCGGTCACTGGATTTAATTATTAGAATTCGTTAACATACACGGTCAACCAGCTTTTAATTTTAATTATTACAATTCGTTTGCCATTCCAATCAACATACGTAGTCAATCGGCTTTAATTATTACAATTTGTTTGCCAACAGCTTACAATTCGAGCAACCCAGGAACGCTGGACTTACTAACGTGTTTTACCCAAGGGACACATGATTGAAGACAGCAGGATTTACTTGTAGTATTCGACACATGGCTACAGATATGTTGCTTACACATAGTCTTTTTATTAGACATGATCAATGTTGTAGCTGGACGTCGATTTCGGATCAGAAGGTCCGTGGTTCGAATCCCAGCACGGGACTCGGAAATGTTATGACTGCTACAGTGTATTCACCGACAAAGTAACAACGAGACTTTTATCATTAATGAACCCTGTGTAGAGCTGTTAAGGGATGTTATTATTTACGCTGAGAAAATATTTCCTTCTGTCGCCAAAATATATTTATCAGATATCAGCTTCCTCGTATTAGAAACACAGCTATGTCCGTCATGAACATTGGGACGGTTTAGTTTCAGACTGGTTGTGTGAGTGTCAGTATTCATTGTGGTGTTACTTGAAGGTCGTCGCCTGAAACAGCAAGTATAAACACCTCTCTCCGTGTAATGTTTTCGTCAGTGTGGTAAGAATTGTGAATAACATTAGCATATGTTTTTTAGTGAATAGATTAAACAGCTCCAAAGCATATACTATCGTTCTAATATTTAAACAATAGAACAATTCATATCTGAACTGTATATACTTTGTGTAATGATGTACTGCGTCAATGGGTCATCATTCTTGTGTACGGCATGTGTTTTGCCCTGTTTACTTCTATAAAATATGTTTGTGTTTATTGAAAGAACGTATGTTGTATTTCTCAGAGCCCTATGGACTTGTTGATGTGGTTCTCCTTTGGTTGCCTGGCCATTTGTTCAGCAGGTGAGGGTGTTAAAGGTTTATAAAATAATAATGAGCACAGTCTCGTGTTTGATACAACACTTTTAAGCATGTCTTCAATACACAGCAGATGTGTTTGAAGAGAAAATGTTGACTTGTGTCTGAAGCAAATATGATGTATTGACCAATCTTTATATGCAGCCATGGTCATCTCCGCTGGTATATCTACACTTTGTTATTTTATGCACTAAATAGTCAATATTATATTCCAAAAATGTAAAATGTTGATCATGGACAATGTTGAAACATACGAAAATTCTGGGATAACTAACGGGTTTTTGTTCCATTCCGTTTACAGCCACACGGTGCCGTCACCACCAGCACTGCTCAGACTGTGACAACACGACAGGCTACTGCACCACCGACTGTGACCGTGGATACTACGACCAGAAATGCAGGTCTGCGTGCAGCAAGAACTGCAGAAATAACACGTGCATTACTTCAAACAGTGGTAGTGAAAACTGCACAGACGGCTGTGTCCTAGGATACCAAGGTCGTGGCTGCAACATACCATGTGACAGTCCAGGAGGTAACTGTACAGCATGTCCAGGTGGTTGTGATGGAGGATATTGTCAGCTGGGTTCATCCTGTGTGTCTGGATGTGTAGACTCCTACTACGGGACTGACTGTAAGACATGTTCATTTGTTTGCTCGTCATGTAACAGGTTGACAGGGACATGTGATGATAAGACAGGTAGGCATTAATCTAGGTCTGTTTGTATCACGATTAACATTCTGACATTTGGTATCTTTTACGTCGTGGCCGCAAGAAATCCGCACTTGCCAGACAAAATGTTTCTTCTGTTATGGCTATTCAGTCTCCAAATAGTTCTCACAGTGGCCTTGAACTGCCAGCTGATCATACAATTTCCTGGTCAACTCATTTTCAAACAGTATGGTCTCGTAATGTCCTACAAAGTTTGTTAACCGATTTGTATCAGCAACAATTACATCATGATTTGTATCAGTAACATTTACATCATGATTTGTATCAGCAACATTTACATCATGATTTGTATCAGTAACATTTCATAATGATTTGTATCAACAACATTCAGATCATGATTTGTATTAGCTTCAGTTATATCATGATTTGTATCAGCAACATTTAAATCATGATTTGTATCAGCAACATTTACATCATGATTTGTATCAGTAACATTTACATCATGATTTGTATCAGCAACATTTACATCATGATTTGTATCAGCAACAATTACATCATGATTTGTATCAGCAACTTTTACATCATGATTTGCATTAGCATCAGTTACATCATGATTTGTATCTGCCACATTTACATCATGATTTGTATCAGCAACATTCACATGATGATTTGTATCAGCAACACTCACTTCATGATTTGTATCAACAACATTTATATCATGTTTGCATTCGCAGCAATTACATCATGATTTGTATCAGCAACATTTACATCATGATTTGTATCAGCAACATTTACATCATGATTTGTATCAGCAACATTTACATCATGATTTGTATCAGCAACATTTACATTATGATTTGTATCAGCAACTTTTACATTATGATTTGTATCAACAACATTTACATCATAGTTTGTATCAGTAACATTTACATCATGATTTGTATCAGCAACAATTACATCATGATTTCTATCAGCAACATTTACATCATGATTTGTATCAGCAACATTTACATCATGATTTGTATCAGCAACATTCACATCATGATTTGTATCAGCAACACTCACTTCATGATTTGTATCAACAACATTTATATCATGTTTGCATTCGCAGCAATTTTACATCATGATTTGTATCAGCAACATTTACATCATGATTTGTATCAGCAACATTTACATCATGATTTGTATCAGCAACACCTACATCATGATTTGTATCAGCAACATTTACATCATGATTTGTATCAGCAACATTTACATTATGATTTGTATCAGCAACATTTAAATCATTGTTTGTATCAGCAACATTTACATCATGATTTGTATCAGCAACATTTACATTATGATTTGTACCAGCCACTTTTACATTATGATTTGTATCAGCAACATTTACATCATAGTTTGTATCAGTAACATTTATATTATGATTTGTATCAGCAACAATTACATCATGATTTCTATCAGCAACATTTACATCATGATTTGTATCTGCCACATTTACATCATGATTTGTATCAGCAACATTTACATCATGATTTGTATCAACAACATTCACATCATAGTTTGTATCAACAATATTTACATCATGATTTGTATCGGCAACATTTACTTTATGATTTGTATCAGCAACATTTACATCATGATGTGTATCAGTAACTTTTACATAATGATTTGAATCAGCAACAATTACATCATGATTTGTATCAGCAACTTTTACATCACGATTTGAATCAGCAACAATTACATCATGATTTGAATTAGCAACTTTTACATCATGATTTGCATTAGCATCAGTTACATCATGATTTGTATCTGCCACATGTATATCATGATTTGTATCAGCAACATTCACATCATGATTGCATTCACAGCATTTACATCATGATTTGTATCGGCAACATTTACATCATGATTTGTATCAGCAACATTTACATCATGATGTGTATCAGTAACATTTACATCATGATTTCTATCAGCAACAAATACATCATGATTTGTATCAGCAACTTTTACATCATGATTTGAATCAGCAACAATTACATCATGATTTGCATTAGCATCAGTTACATCATGATTTGTATCAGCAACACTCACTTCATGATTTGTATCAACAACATTTATATCATGTTTGCATTCGCAGCAATTACATCATGATTTGTATCAGCAACAATTACATCATGATTTGTATCAACCGCAATTACATCATGATTTGTATCAGCAACATTTACATCATGATTTGTATCAGCAACATTTAGATGATAGTTTGTATCAACAACATTTACATCATCATTTGTATCAGCAACATTTTCATCATGATTTGTATCAGCAACATTTACATCAAGATGTGTATCAGCAACTTTTACATCATGATTTGAATCAGCAACAATTAGATCATGATTTGTATCAGCAACTTTTACATCATGATTTGAATCAGCAACTTTTACATCATGATTTGCATTAGCATCAGTTACATCATGATTTGCATTAGCATCAGTTACATCATGATTTGTATCAGCAACATTCACATGATGATTTGTATCAGCAGCACTCACTTCATGATTTGTATCATCAACATTTACATCATGATTTCTATCAGCCGCATTTACATCTTGATTTGTTTCAGCAACATTTACATCATGATTTGTATCAGCCGCATTTACATCATGATTTGTATCAGCAACATTGACATCATAATTTGTATCAGCAACATTTACATCATGATTTGTATCAACAACATTTACATCATAGTTTGCATCAACAACATTTACATCATAGTTTGTATCAACAACATTTACATCATGATTTGTATCAGCAACATTAACATCATGATTGTATTCGCAGCATTTACATCATGATTTGTATCAGTAACATTCACATCATGATTTGTATGATTAACATTGACACCATTATTTATATCAGCAACATTTACATCATGATTTGTATCAACAACATTTATATCATGATTTGTATCAGCAACATTTACATCATGATTTGTATCAGCATCATTTACATCTTGATTTGTATCAGCAACATTCACATCATGATTTGTATCAGCAACACTCACTTCATGATTTGTATCAGCAACTTTTACATCATGATTGCATTCGCAGCATTTACATCATGATTTGTATCAGCAACATTTACATTATGATTTGTATCAACAACATTTACATCATAGTTTGTATCAACAACATTTACATCATAGTTTGTATCAACAACATTTACATCATGATTTGTATCAGTAACATTAACATCATGATTGTATTCGCAGCATTTACATCATGATTTGTATCAGTAACATTCACATCATGATTTGTATGATTAACATTGACACCATTATTTATATCAGCAACATTTACATCATGATTTGTACCAACAACATTTACATCATGATTTGTATCAGCAACATTTACATCATGATTTGTATCAGCATCATTTACATCTTGATTTGTATCAGCAACATTCACATCATGATTTGTATCAGCAACACTCACTTCATGATTTGTATCAGCAACTTTTACATCATGATTGCATTCGCAGCATTTACATCATGATTTGTATCAGTAACATTTACATCATGATTTGTATCAGCAACATTTACATCATGATTGCATTCGCAGCATTTACATCATGATTTGTATCAGTAACATTCACATCATGATTTGTATGATTAACATTGACACCATTATTTGTATCAGCAACATTTACATCATGATTTGCATTTGCAGCATTTACATCATGATTTGTATGAACAACATTCAGATCATGATTTGTATCAGCAACAATTACATCATGATTTGTATCAGCAACATTTACATCATGATTTGTATCAGCAACATTAACATCATGATTTGTATCAGCAACAATTACATCATGATTTGTATCAGCAACATTTACATCATGATTTGCACCAGCAACATTTACATCATGATTTGCACCAGCAACATTTACATCATGATTTGTATCAACAACATTTACATCATGATTTGTATCAGCAACATTTACATCATGATTTGTATCAGCAACATTTACATCATGGTTTGTATCAACAACATTTACATCATGATTTGTATCAGCAACATTAACATCATGATTGCATTCGCAGCATTTACATCATGATTTGTATCAGTAACATTCACATCATGATTTGTATGATTAACATTGACACCATTATTTGTATCAGCAACATTTACATAATGATTTGTATCAGCAACATTTACATCATGATTTGTATCAACAACATTTACATCTTGATTTGTATCAGCAACATTTACATCATGATTTGTATCAGCAACATTTACATCATGATTTGTATCAGCAACATTTACATCATGATTTGTATGAGTAATATTTACACCATTATTTGTATCAGCAACTTTTACATCATGATTTGTATCTGCAACATTTACATCAAGATTTGTATCTGCAACATTTACATCATGATTTGTATCAGCAACATTTACATCATGATTTGTATCAGTAACATTCACATTATGATTTGTATGATTAACATTGACACCATTATTTATATCAGCAACATTTACATCATGATTTGTATCAACAACATTTACATCATGATTTGTATCAGCAACATTTACATCATGATTTGTATGAGTAATATTTACACCATTATTTGTATCAGCAACTTTTACATCATGATTTGTATCTGCAACATTTACATCAAGATTTGTATCAGCATCATTTACATCTTGATTTGTATCAGCAACATTCACATCATGATTTGTATCAGCAACACTCACTTCATGATTTGTATCAGCAACATTTACATCATGATTGCATACGCAGCATTTACATCATGATTTGTATCAGCAGCATTTACATTATGATTTGTATCAACAACATTTACATCATAGTTTGTATCAGTAACATTTACATCATGATTTGTATCAGCAACATTCACATCATGATTGCATTCGCAGCATTTACATCTTGATTTGTATCAGTAACATTCACATCATGATTTGTATGATTAACATTGACACCATTATTTGTATCAGCAACATTTACATCATGATTGCATTCGCAGCATTTACATCATGATTTGTATCAGCAACAATTACGTCATGATTTGTATCAGCAACATTCACATCATGATTTGTATCAACAACATTCAGATCATGATTTGTATCAGCAACAATTACATCATGATTTGTATCAGCAACATTTACATCATGATTTGTATCAGCAACATTAACATCATGATTTGTATCAGCAACAATTGCATCATGATTTGTATCAGTAACATTTACATCATGATTTGCACCAGCAACATTTACATCATGATTTGCACCAGCAACATTTACATCATGATTTGTATCAGTAACATTCACATCATGATTTGTATGATTAACATTGACACCATTATTTGTATCAGCAACATTTACATCATGATTTGTATCAACAACATTTACATCTTGATTTGTATCAGCAACATTTACATCATGATTTGTATCTGCAACAGTTACATCAAGATTTGTATACTCAACATTTACATCATGATTTTTATCCGCAACATTTACATCATGATTTGTATCAGCAACATTTACATCGTTTTTTCAGGCTTCCATTCTTCTGAAATGTACCCAGTTTGGTTTTACGCCGCTTTTAGCAATATTCCAGCAACATCACTTCGGAGGACACCAGAAATGGGTTTCACACATTGTACCTATGTGAGGATTCGAACCCGAGTCCTTGGCGTGACGAGCCAACGCTTTAACCATTAGGCTATCCAATCGCCCCTAAAACGCCATACACTTTCAATAAGACAAAACACAATGTTGTATTTGTAAAATTAATGCCTGCCATTGTTGTGTTCAGGTGAAAGTCTCTTCATTGGACTGCTAGCGTTGTCAGTGTTCGTAGCATTTTGCATCTTGGTGACACTGTATGTGTCTTTCATCAAGTTTGTTAATGCAAAACGGTAAGTATGTTGTTGAAAGTTTTGCCAAAACATAGGCTCCAATTGTTCGCATAGTGTCAAAATGGGTTTTCTTCAAGCCCACATAACAAACAATAATGTAGAATAACATGCATCTTTCACGTTAATACAAAATACAGGGAAACCTATCCTTGCAACTCTCGCATAAACCTTATTTATGTTTAAAAATGCAGTAGAACATATCTCATGTTCTCTCAGCTGTTCCCCGTTTTGTTTAGCTGAAGTAAACCAAAGTAAACCCGTTCTCTACTTGAGTTCATCTAAATGCGCAGTATTGAGATGAACGACATATGATTTGTTTTCAGAGATCTGTAGGTGGTATCGACATTCCCTGGATAGAGAAAACAATGACAAATTTGTTGATATTAGGTTTAATGTGAAATTATTTAAAATGTTTTTGTTGCAGCGACGACAACGAAACAGAAGATGTTTATCATCATCTGCAACGTGTACCGTACACAGAGAACCAGAGATGTATCTAGTCCATCCCCACACACTGATGATGAAGGGTACATTGACATGTGTTTAACAACAATGGGAAGAGCTGGTGATTTTGTATCAACAACCAGATCCTGTAATAGTTCTTGTAGGGTGACGAAGAAACTAAAATAGGTCGTGTATCAACAACCAGATCCTGTAACAGTTTTTGTACGGTGACGAATAAACTAAATACGGGTAATGTTATATCCAACACATATTTCCTTTTATTCTTGTGTAAGGAGAATACCGTCGGTCAAAACCTACAACTGTTATAAAACGCATACATACATTTGTGGAGAGGTCATCTGTAGAACTTTCAGCATTAACAAATCCACCAAGGTCTGTTTTACAAACAGCGGAATGAATGTTATATACTGAATGCAGTTGGTCTAAGGTCCAGTACATGACTTGAATCAGGGAAGTGCGCAAACAGCTTTGTGAAAGCACACATAACGACTTGCAGAAGCTAAATGGGTCGTCCTATAATCTGGGGGAAACGTATTAGCATATCTAAAGATGAATTGCAGCAAGTATAAAGCATCTTCAGCATATAGGCCACATGTCAGTACTAACTATTACTCAAAACAGAGCGTGTGTGTGGAAGGATGTTGGGAGGGTGCGGGTGTGGAGATTGGGAGGCTTGTGTGTTGATACACAAATACTTAAGCACATGTCTTCATCATACTTGTGACGAGGGCATCACACCTGTCATCTTGTATTTCTCCCTGTCGGTAAAGGGTGCAACCTACGTCACTATAAAACCAAATATCAGCGACACAACTGAAACAATGGCTGGAACATACATTCTGTTCTTCCTCTGCCATTGTGTTGTTATGTCTTGTCCAGCTGTGTACTCACTTGACAACCACGGACACAATACTGATTTCACATCTCAGTTTTTGACAAAGCAAGAAAACACAGGCGTATACCTCCCATTTCGAAAGTGTTATACTTTTAGTGCATATTACATTTGTAAGATCTATGTCACCGACTGACAAGCTTTCCCAGATTGTATGTTACTTGTAGCTGGCCATAAGTGCCCGTGTAAACATACATGTACTCTTCTTCCTGTTGTCGCAGTCATGTGGCCCGTGGGTTCGCTACTACAAAACAGCGACGGTCTATAATGGGGTGACATTCACATACTAAGATGTGTTTATATTTCCTGGAGGGAACCAACACTGACATGTTAATAGATTTATAAAGTCCGCGCACTAAGGAGAACAGGATTGCCTCCCACGACACCACTTGACACGCGCTGGGGCATACAAATATATAGGGGTATACTTCGGGACTGATCCGATTGTGGTATGCCGTTGGTGTTGAGGATGGGGTGTTGTAGTGTGTCTGGGCTGACTGGTGTTTAACGTCCTTGAGGATGGGTGTTGTAGTGAGCCTGGGCTGCCTGGTGTTTAACGTCCTTGAGGATGGGGTGTTGTAGTGAGTCTGGGCTGCCTAGTGTTTAACGTCCTTGAGGATGGGGTGTGGCAGTGAGTCTTGGCTGCCTAGTGTTTAACGTCCTTGAGGATGGGTGTTGTAGTGAGCCTGGGCTGCCTGGTGTTTAACGTCCTTGAGGATGGGGTGTTGTAGTGAGTCTGGGCTGCCTAGTGTTTAACGTCCTTGAGAATGGGGTGTTGTAGTGAGTCTGGGCTGCCTGGTGTTTAACACCCTTGAGCATGGGGTGTGGCAGTGAGTCTTGGCTGCCTAGTGTTTAACGTCCTTGAGGATGGGTGTTGTAGTGAGTCTGGGCTGTCTTGTGTTTAACGTCTTCGAGGATGGGGTGTATCAGTGAGTCTGGGCTGCCTGGTGTTAAGCATCCTTGAGGATGGGGTGTTGTAGTGAGTCTGGGCTGCCTGGTGTTTAACGTCCTTGAGGATGGGGTGTTGTAGTGAGTCTGGGCTGCCTGGTGTTTAACGTCCTTGAGGATGGGGTGTTGTAGTGAATCTGGGCTGTCTGGTGTTTAACGTCCTTGAGGATGGGGTGTTGTAGTGAGTCTGGGCTGTCTTGTGTTTAACGTCTTCGAGGATGGGGTGTGGCAGTGAGTCTGGGCTGCCTGGTGTTTAACGTCCTTGAGGATGGGGTGTGGCAGTGAGTCTGGGCTGCCTGGTGTTAAGCATCCTTGAGGATGGGGTGTGGCAGTGAGTCTTGGCTGCCTAGTGTTTAACGTCCTTGAGGATGGGTGTTGTAGTGAGTCTGGGCTGTCTTGTGTTTAACGTCTTCGAGGATGGGGTGTGTCAGTGAGTCTGGGCTGCCTGGTGTTAAGCATCCTTGAGGATGGGGTGTTGTAGTGAGTCTGGGCTGCCTGGTGTTTAACGTCCTTGAGGATGGGGTGTTGTAGTGAGTCTGGGCTGCCTGGTGTTTAACGTCCTTGAGGATGGGGTGTTGTAGTGAATCTGGGCTGTCTGGTGTTTAACGTCCTTGAGGATGGGGTGTTGTAGTGAGTCTGGGCTGTCTTGTGTTTAACGTCTTCGAGGATGGGGTGTGGCAGTGAGTCTGGGCTGCCTGGTGTTTAACGTCCTTGAGGATGGGGTGTGGCAGTGAGTCTGGGCTGCCTGGTGTTAAGCATCCTTGAGGATGGGATGTTGTAGTGAGTCTGGGCTGTCTGGTGTTTAACGTCCTTGAGGATGGGGTGTTGTAGTGAGTCTGGGCTGTCTGGTGTTTAACGTCCTTGAGGATGGGGTGTTGTAGTGAGTCTGGGCTGTCTGGTGTTTAACGTCCTTGAGGATGGGGTGTTGTAGTGAGTCTGAGCTGTCTGGTGTTTAACACCCTTGAGAATAGGGGATTGTAGTGAGTCTGGACTGCCTGGTGTTGAACTTCTTTGAGGATGGTGTGTTGCAGTGAGTCTTGGCTCTCTGGTGTTAAACGTCCTTGAGGATGGGTGTTGTAGTGGTCTGTGTATTGTCCAGCTTCCTACTGAATGCTATAGGCCACCACCACTATATCGTATATCTGTGTATTGTCCAGCTTCCTACTGAATGTATAGGCCACCACCACTATATCGTATATCTGTGTATTGTCCAGCTTCCTACTGAATGTATAGGCCACCATCACTATATCGTATATCTGTGTATTGTCCAGCTTCCTACTGAATGTATAGGCCACCATCACTATATCGTATATCTGTGTGTTGTCCAGCTTCCTACTGAATGTATAGGCCACCATCACTATATCGTATATCTGTGTCATGAATCAAACAATGTGTATACTGTTTCCAACAGGTTCCATCTGCTAAAGTCTTTGGGTAAAATGTGGTCAGGCAATTAAAACTCCCACATTCAGAGGTGCGAGCAGCTTCTCTACATCCTACTTCGTGGAGTCGGTGACTTATCCAACCCTTGAAATGTTCATATTTTCTTCACTTGCTAATAAAGGTGCCACTATCTGTATAGAAATGTCCAACTGAAATTACTTACAGCCTTACTCGTGATCATGCGTGTTGCTTACGTAAAAATAATAAATATGTATATTTTCAGGCACACATTATAAGTATTTTGATAAGACCTGATAGGTACAATGAAAATGCAAAACTATTAAGATTTATATTTATTATATACATTTTAAGTCTGTCTGGCGTTTGATGCGTTGTGTTGACGACCGAGTTAACATTAATGGTCACATCGACAATACCTAACGCCACACCTTGACTAGGTTTAAGACAAGGCCAATCAGTATAACTATGTTTCTGAATAAACGTTTATCACACCCACTATCAGTCACATCACACTCGACCGCCTCCGTGGTGTAGTGGTTAGAGCGTCCTCCCGGCGAGCGGTAGGTCGCGGGTTCGATCCCCGACCGAGTCATACCAAAAGACGTTAAAATATGGTACTTGTTGGTCTCTGCCTGGCGCTCGGCATAAATGGGTACAACAAGAACTGGTCGGCTCGGAGTCAGTATATTCATGCTTCACTGCGGCATGGTATTTCAGTGGGCTAGCACTATAAAACCAGCTTAAGACTGGGCTATTACAAGCAGCCGCACATACACATACAAACGCATGCACGTCGTCATATGAGCGAAATATTCTCAAGCACGACGTAAAACCCAATTTCACCTCACCTCACCTCACCCTCACCTCACCCTCAGAAACACCTACCTGCAACTTCATTTCCAGCTGCTCCATGTTTGGACAACCAGCACTGTTCAGACTGTGACGTCACGACGGGACATTGCCTCACTGAGTGTGACACGGGGTACTATGATCTGAAATGTTTCTCTGTGTGCGATGGTCACTGTAAAGGTAACCTGTGTAATCAATCTGCCGTCGGTAGTGGACGGTGCACCGAGGGTTGTGAGCCAGGATATCAAGGTCCTCTGTGCAACATAGCATGTGACAGTCCAGGAGGTAGCTGTACAGTATGTCCAGGTGGTTGTGAAGGAGGATATTGTCAGCTGGGTTCATCCTGTGTGCCTGGATGTGTAGACTCCTACTACGGGACTGGTTGTAAGGCGTGTTCATGTGAATGTACGTCATGCAACAGATCGACAGGGACATGTGATGATATACCAGGTAGGTATTATCCAAGGTCTGTTTCCAATATTGTTAAAACTACTCGTACAACCTTCAGACATGTGATGATATACCAGGTAGGTATTATCCAAGGTCTGTTTCCAATATTGTTAAAACTACTCGTACAACCTTCAGAATGACAGGGACATGTGATGATATACTGGTAGCTACTGATAAGTAGACAGCGTCTTTAAGAACTGCATACTTCCTAGTAGTCTGATAAGTCCTTACAACAGCACCTTGATTTATTGACGGTCCGAAAATGGTGGTGTTCTTCTAAAACATTCTGTGACTTTGATGTGTGGACTCCAACTACGGCAACTGTAAATGCATATTCCTAGTACTACATTGTTACACAAGGCACTATACTCCCCAGGAAGCTGATAATACCACTATTCCACTGATCGGCGTTATAATGGTGGGGACTTCCCTAACCACGTTTGTCACATATTTACCAATCATATACTGTTTTTAGTATCAGAGCTCTGAATTGGCTCTGATTGTTCTTTAGGTATGGCAAGTTCACCTTGTCCCTTGTCAGGTGGAAGCCCGGGACTCCCTGTTGGACTGTCGACAGTAGCTGTCAGCGTCCTCGTGACGATCTTCCTGGTCGTGTACTGGAAATATAGACAGCGCTGGAGACAAAACCGGTGAGTCAACAAAATGTCTGCAGTCAACAATAGGGCTACAGTCAACAATAGAG